AGGGTTCAGGGTTTAGGGGTTGTAGGGTTTAGGGTTTAGGGTTTAGGGGCTCAGTGGCTTAGTGGCTTAGCGTTCACAGGATGATGATGTAGGGGTTCAGGGGCTTAGGGTCGGGTGCAAGGTTTTCAAGGGCTGGGACCGCTAGGGTTTGCAGCTTAAGGTTGTTGGGGTTTAGGGCTTAAGGCTTGGAGGTTAAAGGCTCTGTTTTGCTGGTGTCGTGTCTCTAGTCTGCTCTGTTTGGTGTGGTTGCGGGCGATTTGTGATTTTGTGCTTTAGGGTGTGTGGGTGTTTTTGCGGCGCTTTCTTGTTCTCTTTCCTGGTGGGTGTGGGGTCTAGGGTTTGCGGGGTTTGCAGGGTTTGGGGTTTTGGTTTGGGGCTTAGGGCTTGAGTTAGGGCTGTCGGTTTTGGGGCTTGGTCTTGTTTACGCGTCAGGGTTTAGGTCTACTTCTTCATCGTCGTCAGCATTTCCTCCCCCATCACCGTCATCTGCATCTTCACCATCATTGCCGCACCGTCATGTCATGATCATACTGGCTTCCTGTCTAGCCTTCGCAATGATAACAGCAATAGCTAGACTTAACCAGGATGTCCCGCCCTGCTTCCTGCTATCCGGCTGCCGGTCGCCACAGATGGAACCGAAACTAAAAGGAGTAGTTGTGTGTCGTATTGCCCGCGGACAGTCACAGACCTTAACCAAGCCAAGCACTAAGCGTAAAGCCCTGCAGACCCTAAACTAAACCGAAAGGGCCCAAACCCAAAAGCCTAAATCGCAAGCACACCATGAATCCTGTCGGCCCTGAATCCGGGAGTCCTCAACAAACCAGGGTTTAGGGTGTAGGGTTTGGGGTGCCACGGCACCTGGGGGTATACGATAGGTTTTCCAAAATTTGGTGAGACAGGCCGTAGCAAACTGGACTTCAACCATGCCTCAACAAAGGTCCAGAACCTGCTCTGGTTCTTGATGAGCCATGCCTTCAAACGCAGAGGCTTTGCTTCATGCAACCCTGATGCATCCCGCATGTCACTGATAGTAGGAATTTCCCCGGGCCGGGGGTGTAGTTCCCCTTAACCCAAAAGTAAAGAGGTGCAGCATTACATTTGTCAACCCTCTCAAGCTGAACATATTTAATGCCGAGGGAACAATGCTTCTAAATCTCTACTTGGAGGATGATGGGACTTAGTAAGTAAGGTTCTAAGTCCCCTAATTGGGGTTATAAGTATAGTTATCTTAGTTATAACCCTACTTACTAAGTCCCATGATCCTTTAAGTACCTGATACCCTCCCAGGCGATCCCGCAAGGATCACAAAGGCTTTTGCTGGCAGCTCCCGGGCCCAAAGAAGCCCGTAACGGCTTCGGGTTTGGGGCTGTAGAGCATAGAATTTAGAGTCTGTTTTTAATTGAACACAAGTTCGAGTCTGTTTTTAATAACAAGGTAGCACGACGGTTTGACTTTTTAGGGGCTGGAGATAGGTTTGCAGACAGTGTCGATTGTAGAAGGGTATCAGAAGCGTTTTTACATGGACTTTGCAGCGATTCGGTTTCGGCTCTCACACTCGGACAATCCAGGCGAGGCGAATGATGAGTCAACGTCAAAGTGAAACAACTGCACATGCAAGTTCCGCAACAAGACGAGCCCTTAAGATAGGGAACCTGTAAGAG